GGGAGAAAAAAAAGAAAATAATAATAATAATAAATGCTAAAGTGTGAAGGTCTAAATTTGAAACTTCTTACTAAGAATTTTTGCACACACACTAGGTGCTCATGGACTAAATCTTTTAACAAGTGGTGTGAAGAATATGATGAGTATTTGACTTTAAGTGAGTATATAAAAACTCTTGAATATTTGAGACTTTGTATCAAATTGAACTTTAATTCTTAAATTTTCTTTGCATGCATATCATATAGTTGCATTCTTGCATTGGGGTTTTGTGGATAGATCCGCTGAAAACTCTCACGAGACACAACTCGTCTACTAGGGTGACCTAGGGGTTTAAAAGCTTATTGCACATGCGAAGTGCAATAATGATTCCTACGAAAGTAAGTTAGGTTTTATTCTCTTTTTGTTTATTTTTTTTTATTTTACTCAAAGATGAATAAAACTTAAGTTTGGAGGAATTTGATGAGTTGAATTTATATATATATTAATGTGAAATTTCTGCCTTGATATTATTGATATTTAGATGTATTTTATAAGCTTTTACATGGTTTTCATTCTTTGTGAAAAAAGGACTTGATTGCATAATAATAGGAGTTTTTGGGATTAATCAAACATCTTTTGAAAGTTGAGAGACTTAATTGCAGGAAGAAAGGCGCTTCTTTGGGACCTAAATGAATGAATACCAAGTTTCAGAATCTAAGTGCTCATCATACAAAATTTGGAGGACCATATCTGCAATTTTACCATTGAAGAAATTGCCAAGAACAAAAACCCGACACGATAATTCTGCTGTGCGCTGAACAGAAGGTATCGGCACCTTGTTGAAGGTATTAACCCCTTACGTGATTTTCACAAAATCCATGTTTAATTTATTATTATGGTGTGGGTCTCACTTCTATTTTAATTAGGGTTACTAAAATCCTATAAACACTCATCCAAATTCAGAATTAAGGGGAGCTTTGGGAGGTTGGTGACAACCCTCTTTTGAGCATTATTGGAGATTAAAATAGAGGTTTCATCAACAATAGAAAATCAAATAGTCTAATTTCCTTAAATTGGGTTTTGCTTTTCTTTATACTTTTTTATTTATTGTTTGATATTTGAATGTTTATAATTATGATTTCAAGTTTTATTATTTTTATGATGAACTAATTTAATCAACTAGGATTAAGATGTAGCCTAATCAATTCAATATGGGTTTTTATAATTTTTACACTTTTAAGATTGTTATTCTATAATGAGTATATATTATTATTCTTAATGTTTTTTAATGCTTGATCACCATTAAAATTGATTTGGAGAGCATAATTGAGATCGAAAAGAGATTTTATGTAATAACTGCTAATAATATATACCATGAATTGAACGAAAGTCAAAGATGAATCAACGTGATTCGTTCCATATTAGTGATAAGTGAACTTAATTTTCTACGTAAACTAGGTTATTTCATAAAATATAATACATCTTTATCTATTTAAATTCATATAGAGATACAATGAGTTAATAGATTCAAATATGCTTGATATAACTTGAGAAAGTATATTCAATAGGATAGGAAATCTCGTTGTCACATGAAAAGTAATATCTTGAAAGTATAATAATCGAAAATCCATATTAATTGATTATGGTGAAGTCGATGCCTTAATACCTCATATCTTGGTTAGTTTTATTTTAATTTTTTTTATTTTTAATTAAAGTTTCTTCTTTTTCGATTGTTCAAATAAATTTGAATTAATTATTTTGGTACTTAATTAATCACAATTCTCGTGGATTCAACACTCTACTTATTATTATATTACTCGAAGTGACTAGTACACTTATTAAGATAATTTTAGTACATCAACCTGCATAAGAGTTTATGACCCCAAAAAAATCAGATAATAACCAAGAAGAAGGCATAAAATACGCTGGAAGAATTTATCATGCAAAAAGTATAGCTGAACCATTTATCTTTAACCTTAGCAAATTAATAACATTTTAAGAAATTATATTAACTAGCAAGATAAGTGAGGATTAGCAGGGTAATGACAGAGAAAATCTAGAGAAAAATGAACAATTGGACTTCCTAGAATGTATTTACCTCCAGCTTTAACAATGTCAACAAGATCGTCCATCAGTATGACTAAAATGGAACGAGGAATGACCCCAACACCCAACACCTGCATACTTTCTTGAATTTTGACTTCCTGATAATCATGGCACACCATAGTATTTGCTCCATTCTGGAAGTTAGTTCCTTGACAAGGTATGGACTTCTGTCATTTAACGCATTGTGTAAGTGATTTAGGCAGCTAAGACAAATATTTGACAATGTTTGGTAGGAACAGAAAAAGAAAATGTTTTAAGCTAGGAAAATCAGAGGAGGTCAAGCTTCTTTACTTTTTGAGGATTTAACATTTTAAATAATTGGAAGGATCATGGAGTACCACGTTCTCCTTCACCCTATGGGCTATCTGGTACATGAGGAATCAACTTATCCATAATAAAAAAGAGTTTTCTCTAGGTGCTGCTAAAGACTTTATCCAGTCTAGAGTGAGTGAATATCTTGACCTTAGTATTAGAGGTGCTCAGATTAGCCATAAATCTGTTGTCAATATTAGATGGCATCCGCCTCCATCAGGTTTCATTAAACTTAACACTGATGGTTCTGCTTTATCCAACCCAGGCCAGTCAGGTGCAGGTGGGGTCTTCAGAGATGAGTTTGGAAATTGGATGTGGTTTTTCTCGAAAAGTTGGCCTCTCTACCAGCCTTTCAGCTGAAATGTGGGCTATTCCAGATGGCCTTAAGATTGCTATTGACAAAGGATTCTATAATCTCATCCTTAAAACTGATTGTAAAGTTGCTGTTCTACTGTTAAATTCTGCAAATTCTCAATTTCACTCACTTGGTACTTTAATTTCTGACTGCAGAAACCTTCTAGCCCTATTCCATGAGGTGGAGGTCCACCATGTTTTGCGAGAGGCCAACTCTGCTGCTGATTGCCTGGCCAAAATGGGAGCCCACTCTGACTCTCCTTTTGTTATGTTCGATGAATGTCCTACTGCACTTGGGTTTATTTTGTATGCTGATGTTATTGGGACTAC